GCGAAATTAAGCATGTCTTTCAATGATGAAAATATTGTGTATTTCAACAGAACCTTCTTCAGCTTTATTATTACATGCAGAAACTGCGGGGGACGCATTCCATGCCATCATGACCTGGAGGAGGGGTCACACGTTCATAGACGGTGCTTTTCATGCCTTTATGGGGATGTTTTTCATGCCTTTATGGGGACACTTTGTACGCATTAATTGGGAAATACTTTTGACCTTAAAATCTAAAATTTCCTCTATTTTTATGTGGGAAATAATTTTATTTCTAAACTTTAAGATATATGATATTATAACATTTAATAATTGACTAGACATTTGACATTTCTCCTTCTTTTCACAGTTTGAATTTTTTCCTGTTAACCTTTCCGACAATTTCGAGTAGTCTTAATGCAATTTTTTTTTTTCTAGAACTACGTTTATACGTATGTGAAGGTGCACATTTTAATGTTTTTAAATTTTGAAATAAAATTGCACATTTTAATGTTTTTAAATTTTGAAATAATTTTATATAATCAATAATTATCAATATTTTTATCTTCATTATTTTATTTTTCTATCTAAATTAAAGTTTTATTTAAAAGTTCATGATTTTGAGAATAGGTATTTTTCAGAATTATAAGAGTGCCTTCTAAATAAATAAATTAGTTTGTCGGATTAACATTCCCACACAGGTTCCCTTTATTTCTTGTCCAAAAATATGTTACAATTTATTTTAGAATAATACATTCTCACATATCGGCAATTATCAGATGGTAAAGTTAATTTGTAATATAAACATTTGCCTATCTATCTATTCATCTGTCAGTACGTAGATATTTGAGTTAATTTACTATCACTTCGGGATTAACTCTTAACAGAAAAAGTGAGAAACTCTTCGGCAAGTTGAATCAAACTCTAGGTAATAAGGGACGCTATCCTTGCGAGGCTCCGTTAGGGATATCAATTAAATTTCATTAATGACAATTGTAATTAAATATAATTAGCCCCCTTGAATGACCTCTCAAAGGACAGGTTGGAGGTTTAAGTTTGTTCTCCCGTCTCCCTCCCGTCACTTACGCTCGAGACACGAGACAATAAACTTTGTTAAGCCTCAACCTTGTCATATTTTAAGGTCAATAAGGATCATCCAAAGGACATAGGTGTTGCTGGGCGTAAGGCACACGCCGTAGAGTTATTCCCCAGGCGTTAGCGAATCCCACGCCGTAACTCTTTCTATCAGTGGAAATGTTAGCATAATTGCATACTTTATTCTATTGCATATCGTGAACTTCTCATGCAACAAGTCATTGTGTTCATTGTCATTTATGATACATGTACATGTATATCAATGACCTCTCTCCTCTCTTTTGAAAGAGTCATTTTCTCTTTTTTAAGGTAGACAGACATGAATACATGTACGAGGATTGATCCAAAAGTAATATTTGAGGAGTTGCGGATAAGAGATGGATAACCCTCAACATTAGAGAAAAGAATGGCAGTGTTTTATGTTGTGTTATTTGAAACCCGAAATAAAGTATAATAGGATGTACACAGTGGCACTATGTAACAAAGATTCTGTGAAATGAAATATGGAGATAACGAACAGTATTCAGTATTCCAGGGTGGTGGTAATATTCAGAGAGAGAGAAAAAAATCCTACATCATAGAGGGATTGGTGGAGGGCTAAATTTTTTGATAAGCTTCTCAATAAAACTGATTAATTTTTTAAAAAAAATTACTTTGTGGAAGGAAAAAGAAAAAGAGCGTTTGAAACATTCTTGCTTTATATTGTTTTAGAGGATACAGCACTGACATCATTAAACTACAAATCTACTATTGAGTCAGTTGCCTACGTTTCCTCAGTGATAATTGTCGACATGATACGTCTTTAATTTGTTTACGTATATAAAAATCCCCGTGTGTATAATCAAAGGAATATTCAAAGGAAATATATTTTGCAATACCAATATTTCATTTATATCTTTCATATATGAAAAAGAATAATAAAACAATTAAAAAAAAGAAGAATTGATTTAAGATTAACAAATGGACAAAGCGTTTAAAGAACTCAGATTGGAAATTCCAGTCCGTTTATGTCGTTTTGCTTTGAACCTCTGTAAAACAAGTAGCAGTGGTTTTTCCTTTCTTTGATAAAATTCTGAATCATAAGTCCTATATCATATTAATCTAAGCAGGAGGTCCAAGTAGATCTGTTCAAACACTGTAAGTAAGAAAACCAGGATTGTTAAGATAAATATATCCAATATATAAATATATACAGTAAGTCAGTTTTTCTATGTAAAACATTAGATATATTTTAGAATTCATTGATTTAAAGTCATTTCTGAAGCACTTCTCAAGACTATAAATATCACTGCCATATAGATTTTTTTGCTTCTTTTTTATACCACAATTGTATTATTTTTTATCCAACTAAGGCCTAATTGTTTTTAAGATCGCTTCAGCTAAAAGCTCAAGTGAGTTTGAAATGTCTTCATCAAACTCTCGACCTATGGAATATGTCTCCTAACAGGCCCCAAGACCATAAACTGAGAATACTAGACTTAAGTCAAAATTTTGATTTTTAACATCTTGAGTTTTCTTTAATGTATTTGCTTAAAAATTTGCAATTTTATATAACATTTAAATTCAAATATATGATGAAAATTTTGTTTCAATATCAAAATTATTTCAAAAATTAAATTGGTTTGAAATTTTTACTTAAATCTATTCTCAGTTTATGGTCTTGGGACCAGGTGCCATAGAGGAGTAATCATCCCCTATCGATCGGTCAACCTGCAGTATGCTCCTTGTCATGATATGGTAAACGGAGAAATCCGTACAATATAAAAACCCTAATTGCTAGAGGGTGTGATTTGATTAATTCTAAATCAAAAGTTATTTGCCAAAGGGCGAAAACGTTTAGTCGCGATTCGTCGTTTTAAATCAATCTAGGACTATTATTTTGACGACTGACGAATTGTTTTACTTAATTACACAATTCCATATTAAATGATCTGCGGTGAAAAATATTTGTTTTTAAAATGAAAGAAAAGCTAGCTGCCAAACTCGCGAATATTTCTTGCACGCAAATAAATGTTTGCTTACAGTGCTTGGGAAGTGCTGGGAATTAAATTTTCCCCTTAGATCTATATTTTTTACATGTACATTGTTTCAGTGTGTATTTGAAGTCTTTGTGATTGTAGATATTGAGGGCTGAGATCCAGATACTCTTTGAGAATGTGGAAGTTTCTTCCAACATCTTTCAAGGTAATTCGTTAACATACTTATGTAATTCTTGTATCTTTAATATGCTTATTTGTAATTTTATACGTAGTATTGTGTAAGACAAACTGATTGCAGCCAGTGACGTCATTTGTACCAAATTCAATCGATTCTATGCAGAGAATGATCTCGGAGTCTTTTGGCAGTCATGTTTTCATGTTTTATTTGAACCAGAGACAATTACATCTCATAGGTATACAAAATATGTACATAGATATTTAATTATTTATACATAAGATTTGCACAGGATAAGTGTAGCACATACTGTACAATATACATTAGCAATTAATTTAATTTAATCAGTATTTTATTATATAAAGTCAAACCATATGATTGGATTGGACTCAGGCATGGCCTATATAAGTCCTCTCCAAGAAGGACAAGGTTACAAATGTTAAGAACTGACAATAATCATATGTAATGGTTTACAATTAATGATGAAATTGTTTATAATAAATTATATATTAATTTCTTATGTAAACTAGAAAAGGAAGAAATGAAAAAAGATAAATTATACACAAGAGTTATTACCTAGCATATATTCTCATTATACAATACATGTATAATGAAAAAATAAATAAGAGAGTACAACAAACAACAAAACTGATTAAGTAAATAAAAAAGTGCAAGAGACAAATATCCATGGAAATTAAGATACAAAATAAATAAATAAATAAATAAATTAATTAATTAATTAATCAATAAAATTGGAACAAACAACAAAAACTAAATAGGTAAATAAGGAAAGTGCAAAAGACAACAAATATGCAAGGAAAATACACTCATATACATTGAAATGCTGAGATTTGAAATAAGTATGAAATATGAAGATAACGAACAGTATTCAATCTCGAAAGTACAATGAAACGATACAAATTTGGAGCAGAGCAAATACGGACCTCAAAATTTAGAGGTGGAATCAGGTGCCATGGAGGAGTGAGCATCCCCTGCCAACCGGTCACACCCGCCGTGTGCTCCTTGTCATGATCGGAATAAAAACGGAAAAATCCGTAGACAGTTCAGTGTGTAAGTAATGGCCTAACAATAAGTATGAAAAATATCAGTCAGCATTTGACTAATGATAGGTTGTATGTGCTGACAAGGTCATTGTATCGACCGTAAAACTTACGAAATGATGACTTCAATCGAGACTGTTGATATCCTTGTTTCATCAACTTGTTTGTCAATAGTCTGCCTCGTTTTAGAAATTGTTCATACGTAGAGCATGCTAGCATGCTTCATAATTTCTTTTCAAAGAGATTCAGACCATTTTCAGATCAGTGTAAAATAGAAAGTTATTAGCAGAATTTGTCTTAGTCGTAAGTCCTTTTGTAAAACAGACCCCAGTTTATTAAATATGCATGTTTAAATTAATTTATATCAGCACCCAGTGTATACATTTAAACAGAGACGTGTAATTAGACAAAAATAAAATTATTCATAGAAAATACTGGATGGAGAGGGCTTAACCCTGTACTATTACCATATTTACGTATGCACGTGTCTTCTTCTTTTTTTTTCTTTTTTTTAAAATAAGACAAAAGGATACACGTACATACTTCATTAGCTTGTTTCAAATTTAATGTATTTTTCCGGAAATATTGTAGTCGTCTCTTTTCCATAGCTCATTAGTTATCATAACATGCTTCCAGTTGTGAATTGGGGATTTCCAAAACGTAAACAATGTTGAAATACATGTAGAAATAATTCAAATTCCAGATTGTTAGAATTTTTTTTGATGTTTATTGATTTCTTCATATGAATTAGATATTCACTCATATGATGTGAAGGTCCTCAAAGTGGCAATGCGACTGGTTGATAGGTCAGTAGAATGACATTCTGTATACTGGTATAATATTAAAATAGATCTATGAAGTCTAAAGTTATATCTCTTTTACTTTTTTATACGAGAAGAGGTGGACCTATAGTTTTTCAGCACAAATGAAGATAGTGCCAAAAAAATCATTACACTCAACACAGAATAACCAATCAGGATTAACAGGAACTCATGTTTTAATGTTTAGAAAATTAAATGTGCTTCGTAGATCTAGATCTATTTTAAAAACTTCCTCAAGATCATTTTTAGCTGACATAGTGAAAACTTCCTTTATTTATTCTAAAATTGGAAAAAGAGAGTATTTCTAGTTTTTCTTTCATTTAAGTTTTTTGGTTTTTCTTTTCAGCATTGTTGAAACAATGGTCATTCCTTGGCATATCTTGCTTGACCAAAATTGTTTTCTTTGAACAACCCTTAATGATAATTGCAACTCAAGGACTTGTAGCTGGGAAAATTGTCACTCTCATGGGTTAAATTGTTTTGTCGTTAATAGCTTGTGTTTGATCATTGAGAAGGAATTATTGTGACAACACGTATATGTGTACAGTATATAGACAAGGAAATGGACTCTTAATTCAAACTTGAAAATCAAGGATGAAATGGAGTGATTCAGAACTGTACAATCATGTATATTGCTCTTATTAATCATATGTTTAAAAGATGGACAGTGTGTTTATCACAATTGATATTTTGATTACATGAGGTCATTTTAATTTTTTTTTTCAGAATTTAAGAAAAGAGATGTCAGCTGAGGACTGTGTCCCACTACGGCAGTCTCAGAATTACCTGTGGGACGTCACCAAAATACTGGGTCAGGGAGCCACCAGTAAAGTGTACAAGGGCAGAGAAAAGGTAAAGCTGGTTTTTTATTATACACATAGAAGTAATATTGATTTGTTAAATTAACAGATTTATTTATAAATATCATATATTACTCTTTCATTTACTTAATTAACATGCTTAGAATGAAAATTTGTACAACCTTTTGGCCTGGTTGTTAAGAAAGTCAAGCTAATATTATTAGAAGAAATTATTCCACTCGGATTGAATCCTTTTGTCATATTTTCACATGATTGAGAAAAAAAATTATAATTATATATTTTTGAAATTAAGTAACTTTTTTTTATTTTAATTGATCATTATATATTAGAATCAACTGCAGAAGTTGATTTTGCTGTTTATTTCAGAGAAATGGAGAGGAGGTGGCTGTTAAGGTGTTCTCGTCGGCAGCGATGCAGAGAAGCCCCGAAGTCCAGGTCAGGGAATTCCAGGTGATGATGCAACTCAAACACGAAAATGTCGTTCAACTCCTGGGAATCGAGGAAGAAGTAAGTTCTCCCTGGTTTGTTAAGCTGATGGTTAGAGTTGAAGCAATATATGTCAGATTGATTTAATCTATTTTTGACCAGATTGTGAAGCAAAAATTAATTTGGTCTGTTGATAGATGATGCCTATATGCAGTATGCATTTTAGAAAAGATAAATAAAGCCTGCTAGCTTTTTGGATTTAAGTGTTTAAATATACAGTGGGGCACAAATGGAAAGGTCGTAACATTTTAAATTATTAGAAGTATTGTGCCAACATTGACTTTAACATCATGTTTTAATGGAAAACAAAATACATGTGTTTTAACAATGATAATGTTAATGGTTATCATGGTTAGTAAGTGCACAGCCATAGGTCTACTGATTGCTTTAATTTGACTGACTTTCCAGGAGTATAAAAAATACCCCACAGTCAGATTAAAGTCATCTGAAGGCATGTGAGTGTGTGTATATAAACATGTATTTGTTGATATAATTATGTAATAATCAAGTATGTAACTGTACATAGTGAATTGAAGTACAATATAAATGATGCGGTGTTTCACTGTACATTTATTTACATTTCCAACTGTTTTCTCTTTAATAACTCTTTGAAAGTTAAATGTGTTAATTTCTCAATATTTACAACTGAATGTAAATTTTGCCTAGTGAAAGGTCAAGTGCCTAATATGCATGCCAATTTTTAGCTAGGCTGTCATTGTGTCTGATGTGAGTGGGCAGGGATTATGGAAATTAACATGAATGCTTGTTGTATTTCAATTCGATTGGAAAGCATTTTCGATTTTTCATTACATATTTATTTCACAAATAAATGTAAATGTAAGGAATCACTGCCTAGTTTGTTGGGTATGCCAGGGACATTAACGACAGTTGGAAACATGGAATAATTATGCATATGATAATGTTATGCAAATTATTCCATATTTTCAACTGTTGTTAATGTCCTGGCAAACCCAACAAACTAGATAGTGATTCCTTAACCTATAAATGAAATCTTGTTTTCTATCATGCAGGATGTAAATAACCACAAGGTTATTGTGATGGAGTTATCGCAGTACGGGAGTCTGTACACACTGCTGGACGAGCCCAAAAACTCGCTGGGACTCGAGGAAGATGAGTTCATTATAGTCCTCAAGGATCTCAGTATGGCACACTCTATCTATCGTGTTTGAAGTTTTTGTTAAAAGATATGGAATATAATCATTGAAAAGTGTTTTAAATTTTATTCTTTTGAACATTCAAGATCCAACACTAACATATGGTTATCAACTGGACAGAAAGATACAGGATGTGATCGGGGGGCATCTTGTTGAAAAATTTCTAGAATCAAATAAAAGAAATGCAGTGAAATTAATTAAAAGCTATTTTATTGATAATTATTATTACAACCCCTTTGAAGTGATCATTAGTATAATTAAAATTGTTGTATTTAACATTTATTTAATTAGTGCAATGATGATGTCTGTGTTTCACAATGTTCCCTTACATTTTATTCTTGTGTGTTTTTAGCTGCAGGAATCCAGTATTTGAGGGAAAAAGACATTGTTCACAGAGACATCAAACCAGGAAACATTTTGTTGTTCAAAGACGACGAAGGGAGGTGGGTAAACAAGGTGTAATTTATACATTTCTTTTGTGTAAAGCATACCATGACAATTATTGTGTAATACATGCAGTTGAATCTTTTATAGCTTATACCTTGATATGTCTAATACCACAGAAATGTCAATGAAAGCAATTCTGCAATTCTGACAATGTACGTCATATTAAATTTGCTGCTAACTTGAAACTCGATTGAATTCATTTCTTTGTTCAGTTTTGCTGATGTCAATTCAATGATAACAATAAGAATTTGAATGTGTGTGCTTGTACATGTATGGTGTTGCACATTATAAAATGATGACAATGAGTATTTCTTTTCATAGGTCTGTTTATAAACTGACAGATTTTGGTGCTGCTAAACAACTGGAAAGTGAGGACGAACAATTTATGTCCCTCTATGGCACAGAAGAATATCTGGTAAATCTCTAGATATAGATTTATGTCTCTCTATGGCACACAAGAGAATCTGGTAAATCTCTATATATAGATTTATGTCCCTCTATGGCACAGAAGAATATCTGGTAAATCTCTATATATAGATTTATGTCTCTCTAGGGCACACAAGAGTATCTGGTAAATCTCTATAATAGATTTATGTCTCTCTAATTCTCAGAAGAATGTCTGGTAAATCTCTATGATAGATTTATGTCTCTCTACGGCACAGAAGAATATCTGGGAAATCTCTATATAGATTTATGTCTCTCTACGGCACAGAAGAATATCTGGGAAATCTCTATATATAGATTTATGTCTCTCTACGGCACAGAAGAATATCTTGGAAATCTCTATAATAGATTTATGTCTCTCTAGAGCACAGAAGAGTATCTGGTAATCTCTATAATTATAAAGATTTATGTCCCTTTACTGCACAGAAGAGTATCTGGTAAATCTTTACATATAGATTTATGTCCCTCTATGGCACAGAAGAGTATCTGGTAAATCTCCATAATAGATTTATGTCTCTGCACAGAAGAGTACATGTATCTGGTAAATCTCTACACATGCATTTATGTTCCTCTGTGGCACAGAAGAGTATCTGGTTTATCTCTACATCTGGAAGGGAGAAGTTTGACTATAACTATTTTTGAATTACCTTCTCTCTATTAATCACAGCATCCTAACATTTATGGCCGAGCGGTGATTAAGGATGGAAACACAGGTCCATTTGATGCCACCGTTGACCTTTGGAGCTTAGGGGTCACGATTTATCATGCTGCAACGGGACACCTACCATTTAAAGCATATGGGGGAAGAAGAAACAGACACAAAATGTAAGCAGTTCTGATGGAAAAATTATTTTACAAGTATCAATGGTACATTGTTGCATTTTGATATACAAGTACATGCTCTTATTTCAGATTAAAAAGGATAATTAATTTTACATGAATACAATCAATTATTAAACAAGATTCCTTCATAATAATTGGAGGTAAAACATGTAAAACTGAAAGCACAATTTATAGTTAGAATGTTATTCTTTTGAGACAGGTATGAAATCACGAAGACAAAAGAGAGTGGGGTGATTTCTGGGGTACAGAAGTATGAAGACGGACCGGTTGAGTGGAGCCGTGATCTCCCACTTACCTGCCTGTTGTCTGTGTAAGTCACTAGTGGTAAATACACATGTAATAGATGTTCATCATTTGTTTCTTCTAATTGTTTTTTTAAAGTAAGCTTGATTACAAATATTGATGCAATACATCAAAAGCTTGATATGATTATGAAAATGTTTCATACGAATAGACATAAAATTAAGATCCTGGCATATCAATCATATTGTTACCCATCTTCAGAAGTTATGCAAATATAATTTAATTTTGTTTGTATTCTAGCCTCTGATTGGTTAATATCCAAAAAGGAACACAAATTATTTCTGTATAACCTGGTTTGGTATGGGGACACACCCCCCTGACAACCAGCTGAATCGTCTGTATCCATGCAATCCTCTCATTTCCAGTCCTCGGGATTCATGGAAAATTCCAGATTTAATAAATGTACCTTTAACTTCAAACAGTAACTCGGATCTTACCACATGTAAACAAAAAACATGGCTGCTAGAGGATTATGTATCAGTTTTTACCTCCCCTCGCTTCCCATCACTTCCGTTACTATGGTTGTATTATTGAGCGGCAAATTTGAACTGATAAAAAGCAACGAAATTTTACACCCAGAGTTGTTTAATGATTTTAGAATTAAATTATAAGGAATGACTCTAATTCTTGGCCAAATTATTCGAGGATAACCTGGTTTGGGTCAGTTTACGCTGTTTTATAATCCGCTTCGCGGATTATAAAGCGTAAACTGACCCAAACCAGGTTATCCTCGAATAATATGGCCAAGAATTAGTGTCATTCCTAAAATAAATTTGAATTTTATTCTCTTTTTGTGTGTGTGTGTGTGTTGGGGGGATGTTAAAATTTGAATACTATAATAAATTTTATTCTGTCAATATAGAGGTTTGAAGAAGTTCTTGGTTCCACTACTCGCCTCACTGCTAGAGAGCAATGAAAGAAAACGGACAACATTCGACAGGTTCTTCGAGAAAGTGGCAGATCTTCTTGACAAGAAAGTTCTGAATGCATTTTGTCCAGTAACTTGGTCCAATATGAGAATTTACGTTAACAAAGACACCAAGTATGTTGATTCCCCAAAATGATAATTAAATACATGTACTTCATGAAGTTGATAAATGCTATGAAAATTATAGCAATATTTATCAAATAATTTGTACATTAATTTATGAACATGTCTCATCCAAATGAAGCAGCCTCTAATAAATTCATGCCCCTAAAATTGACAGATATATGTAAAATGTACTAAATTTATTTGATACTGAGAAAAATAGAAAAAAAATATTCAACTAGGTTTTTTTTCTGTATGCTATATGTACTTGCTGCATTAGTTAAAATGAAATTTTATTCTGTTATAACAGTAAAACAAAAAAAATGGCTTATCCGATACATCTGTTTCACCAGGAATTCTGACCTTTAGGCCATCATTGAAAAATTTTTGTTTTATGTACTCTGACCCACATTTTTTAAGATGGGTAGGTAGGTAATTTTTCTTTTGTAGAATTATTGTACACTTTGATAAACATTTAAACATCATAAAAAATCACAGACTAAAGAAATTTACTGAATGATGTTTTCATAAAGGCCTGACAACTAGACAGATTTATTGCTACTTTCAATCTAAAAAGCTTCTTAGGGAAATGATAATTCTAACTTTAAGAATGATACAGACAATCTGCATTTTCACAGAAAGCAAAAAAAAAAAAGGAATTTAAAGTACTAAAAATATGACCGAAAAAAATGTTTGGGAAGGGGCAATTTGATGGGTCAGTCGGATATGGAGTACAACAAACAAATCATTTTTTATCGTTGGCCTAATTTTCATTTCCATCATATCATTTTCCACAATATTTACACTGTGCAATCCAACTTCCCATTTCTTCTGACACAGAATTTTATCCTGGTGCATGTCGATTAGATTTCACTGTATATTGTTATGTTTTTAATAAGGCTATTTGAATAAGTTTTTGTGATATGTACCTGCAGTGCAGTGCATTGCACATTTAGTGGACATTGAATACTGTATAACTTCCTTTAATACAACAAAATTTAACATTTTCTGCAGCCCTTTATACTTCTTATAAATATACTAATTTAAAATTTAATGGCTGACTTTTGTTCCAGACTGTCGGGCCTGCAGGAAGTGATCGCTGAGCAGTGTGAAGTGGCAGCTGTCAATCAAATCCTGGTTGTTGACGGAGAGTTACTGGAGCATACAGTTGACCCCCTTGACCCTGTATCAGAGTATCCAAAGTCTATCACAGAGGACAACCCTATATTTGTGTTCCTAAAGTCCTATCCAGATCACAGATATTTCCCTAACTGTGTATATCGTAAGCAGTTTGTTGTTTTCTATGTCATGTTAATTTTAAATTTGTTGCACTATAAAGTGATTCTTAAAGGTACAAGGCATCGTGACTTGTATTGTCAGATATGTAAACCAACTTTTATTTGTCTGCATGAAATATTTGCTAGTTTCATAATCTTCTTGATTTCTTAACTATAGGCTGGTACTCATGCTGCAATTAACCTCATGCAATTTTTATTACCTAATCAAATGGATTTTGTTGTTTTATTAGAGATTTAATATTTTCATATATTCTGTATGTGTATTCAGTTTTTCTTATCTTTTGAAACAGATCTATTGAAATACCGGTCAATAGACTGTGATCTATTGGACCGCCGGTCAATAGACAGTGATCTATTGGACCGCTGGTCAATAGACAGCGATCTATTGGACCGCCGGTCAATAGAATGCGATCGATCTATTGTACCGGCAACGTATTTCGGAAAAACCGATCCGGGTTTTGAATTCGTATGAAACATTGCGCAGACGTCAGTGGTAAACAGTCATTTAATGTGATCTTTTGATAATAATTTTTAAAAAAGTAAGATTTCAATGGTAGGATATTTTATTCTATGAGAGTTACTTCAATTGTATGAAAGATGCACCACATCTAGGTATTAATTTACAATGATTTGAATGCATAATGGTATGGAAACCTTCTGTAATATACAATTGTAACACTAAAAACTGAATTGAGAAAATGGAATTAGGTAATAAAACAATTATTTAATGCCTGAGCAGTCAATAGACCAGAATTTTTTTCCCTTGGTGCAGGGAACAGCTCAGTGTGTTCTATTGCCCTCGGCCATTGGCCTCGGGCAATAGAACACACTGAGCTGTTTCCTGCACCTCGGGAAAAATATTCTGGTCTATTGACTGCACAGGCATTAAATAATTGTGTTTTATTGCATGCAATTCTCTGTACACATGCAACAGTTAATTGCTTACAATTCTTCACTTTCTCTCATAAAACATACAAATGAAACAAGAGTTGTATTGAAGGTATTACATCCTAACATCCAGACTAGTCAAACTTATTGAACCATATACTCTTAATGAGACATTTGGGCAATTACTTGTATTTTGCAGCTAATTAAGAATCTTTTGTTGGTATTAATATCACACATCATTTCAGTGGTTTGGGTTTGTAGTTAGGCCTTTCTTTGTAAAAATAACCTTCATATTCTGCAAATGACCCCTCTTTTAAAGTTCCGATTGGTTACTGTTGAAAAAATGGATGCAACTTCACTTGAATATAGAACAGTGATCTATTCTAGAAACAATCTCGTGTCACTATGAAAACTTTTGCATGCAATAATATTTACCACATACACACATTGCAATTTACCCCATGAGATTATCTGCATGGGATTAATTGTAATATGTGTACATGCCTTAAGAATTTCATCTGATAAACTGCAAGTATATGAATTACTCTATGTAGATATCTTGAAAAAAAGAACTGATCTTTCAATTGAAATTTTATTTTATTGTAGCCGAGTTTCCGCGATTCAGCAGCTCTGTTCATATCAGCAATGACTACCAGCTGTCCAAGTTGTGTTGTACAGTGATGTCATTTCATCTCAGGCTTGTCAGACAGTACCACAGGAAGTTACAGCTATTACAGAGGAGTGTCAGGGGATATATGTAATTATAGCAACACTTCTTTTTTCAGTGTCTGATCAAGTTTATGTACAAAATATATGTATATAGGTTACAAGGAATTCTAAGACATAATTCTGTAGACAGATATGTACTTAATTACATGAAAATGAAAATTACATTCATTTGAAACAAAATATAAACTCAGCATTACTGGCTCACCATGAATTGTTTTATATAATAGCAGTTTATTATTTAAAAAAAACAAAGTATACATTGCCATCTTAAGTACTGCATATCTAGGAACTGTGTGTTCAGACATAATTTAGACAATTTAGACGTACCAGTGTGTAATGACAAGTATATTATGTTTACAAAAAGAACATACTGGCTCATCATAAACAGTTTCATAATTATATTTTTTACTGGAATGGCAACTTATCATAATTAAAATTGAACACTCACATGTGAATTGATATAGTTCTACCTTTTGAGTATTGCACATTAAGTAAACTTTCATTTCTGGGTTTTACCCCCAATACCTGTACATAACCAAATACGATTATTTTTTTTGCTTTTAAGACATGAGCTTCACCATGAGATTGACCACTTAGTAGACTATCTCAGACATCAGAAACAACATAACCAGACTTGTCAACTGTGGACAAGGAACTATAACCACTCCGTGGCCCAGAACATGGCACTAGTCAGGGGGACCAACCAGGGGCAAGGGGCCAAAGAAAGGGAAATACTGCTAGAGGGAAATCAGAAGTATATCAGGGACCTGGAAAAACAGGCAAGAACCAGAGCTTAGGTGTCCAATCACAGGCCTTGTTACAAAATATTAGACCAATAAGGAGTCCTTTTACAGAAATTATCCAAATAATCAGTGGATAATTTAATTAAATTTAGGAATGCAGAACTTGAATTATTATTTGATATTATGACAAAAAATTGATATTTATTTCCAGGTTGACAACATAATGAAGGGAGCAGAGGAACAGCTGAATCAGATCCAGAGAGATGAGCTTCAAAATAAGAGACTGGAGAGATACTGGGGGGACGAGAATCTGGCCTGTCACTCTGATACTTATAGATGGTATACACTATATATACGTCTGTCACTCTGATACTTATAGATGGTATACACTGTAGAGCCTGTCACTCTGATCCTTATAGATGGTATACACTATATATACAGCCTGTCACTCTGATACTTATAGATGGTAAACACTATATATACAGTCTGTCACTCTGATACTTATAGATGGTATACACTATACAGTCTGTCACTGATACTTATAGATGGTATACACTATACAGTCTGTCACTGATACTTATAGATGGTATACACTATATAGTCTGTCACTCTGATACTTATAGATGGTATACACTATATATACAGTCTGTCACTCTGATACTTATAGATGGTATACACTATACAGTCTGTCACTCTGATACTTATAGATGGTATACACTATATATACAGTCTGTCACTCTAATACTTATAGATGGTATACACTATACAGTCTGTCACTCTGATACTTATTGATGGTATATACTATATCTGTCTGTCACTCTGATACTTGTACCATATAAGCAGAAAATTTATTCAGGATTCAATTGTGGCTTTTTTAGAGAGGCCGATGTTGAGATCACTAAATTAAATATTGCTTACAATTTATTCTGCATTAGAGGGTAATGTTATCTTTGTATGCACCATAAAATCATTATGATTACATCTCGCTAAAATTAAATACTGATTTTTAAGGACAAATCCCTAAATTTGTGTCTTGCTAAAAAATTCCACTTTTGCGTTGTATGGTGTACACTCAGATATTTATACAGCCTAACTGTCACACTGATACTTACAGATGGTATACAGCGTATACTATACACTAATTCAGACATTTATCAGGCAATTCTTTTGCCTCTATTTTTTAATAAACGTCAAAGGATGTACATGCACATGTATCTGAGATACGCATCCTTGAAAAAATAAATCTTTTAGTAACTGCATATTCCTGAAACCAGAAGTCAATACTGATGCTGAGTGGAATATATAGCTGAATGGGAGCTTCAGTGTAAAAGATGCACTGAAGAACTGTATAACTTTCAATCCACCATGGAGCTGGTTGTAATGTTGTGCTGTTTTTGCTTGTAGTGGAGAGAAAATTGAAGTGATGCTGGAATCAATGCGGGGGATCATGATCGCATTTAAAGAGGACAGACACAGAGTGGTTCTAGGCAAACTGGAGGAAAATATCCATATGGTAGAAAAGTAGGTCCATCAATTTAAAACTGTTTACTAGTGAGGATATAAACAATATAATCTGCCTTGATTTACAGCAACTTGTTCTTTAACAAAATTAAAACATGTAATATGTGCATTCTCCTTATCTAGACACAAAAAGTGAAAAATTAGGTAGTCAGTTTTACTATTAATACGATTACTGTTCTTAATGACATTTTAAATTAAATAAATGTTAACTTCCAAGTTATAGATAAAATCTCTTTTTAAAAATTATAAATTTTGCAAAATTTAAAAATATTGCAAAGAGGTAGAAAATTTTTTAGATATGGTAACCATTTTTCTTTTATGATAGTTTGATATAATTATTTTACTATTAACCTGTTATATTTAATGTTACAGAAATCGACTGCAGACACTGTGTTCTAAATCCCTGTCCATATTAGAGAGTTGTAACCGCTGTACAGAAAAACAGTACAATGCATACTACATGTGGTACAAGTAAGTCTACACAAAAACAGTATAATGTATACTACATGTGGTACAAGTAACTTTGTACATTACAAGGAAAGTTAAATTTAAGATGATAAAGCCTTAGGAAGAGTAAAATCATGTAATTCTTAATCACTGGTTATTAAAATTTTAAAGTTTCAAGTAATTTTATCTGTACATAGAGATATCAAATATATTATTTGATAAAAAAAAAAAAAAAAATTCAGTCTTACCTGTTTTTAATTGATATTCCAAAGTGTTGTATGATATAAGAATCGCATAAAGTCAGTTTCAACTTTTAAGGGAGCAAAAAACAACAAACAATTATCAGTGCATGATATAATAACTATTAATTTTATCAACTGACTATATATAAATTTAGTTGATAAATGTAAAATTGAATTTTGTCAGAACTTGTTTGAATTTAAATGTTATGTTTGTACACCTGTATTTATACAGTCAGGCAGTGGACACTCGTAACAGGTGTGATAAAGTGAATCTGAAACTGGGTCACCTGGAGAAGAGACAGACAGAATATGTCAGTAAATTAGACGAGGTAAGAAGTAATAAGTTACAGAAATTACAATATGTCGGTAAATTAGACGAGGTAAGAAGTAACAAGTTACAGAAATTACAATATGTCGGTAAATTAGACGAGGTAAGAAGTAACAAGTTACAGAAATTACAATATGTCGGTAAATTAGACGAGGTAAGAAGTAACAAGTTACAGAAATTACAATATGTCGGTAAATTAGACGAGGTAAGAAGTAACAAGTTACAGAAATTACAATATGTCGGTAAATTAGACGAGGTAAGAAGTAACAAGTTACAGAAATTACAATATGTCGGTAAATTAGACGAGGTAAGAAGTAACAAGTTACAGAAATTACAATATGTCAGTAAATTAGACGAGGTAAGAAGTAATAAGTTACAGAAATTACAATATGTCAGTAAATTATGAGGGGTGATCAGAAAGTTCGCAAACTAGTTGAATTACTTCTTTAAAAGAAATAAAATGAGGTTTCAGTGTTCATTACTTTTTAAAGTAGTCCTCTCCGATTTTAATGCACATCTGCCATTGTTCTGCCCATGCACAAATCACATGATCCAGGCGGTCATGTGACGTGCTCAGTAGCAGTCTGTTCAAAGAGATTTTTCCGAGTCTTATATTTCTTACCCTGCAAGTTATTTTTTATAACAAGAACAGACCATCTGTCAAAAAAGGCCAATTCTCGGCAATAGGATGGGCGGATAAGGATATATCTTCCCAGAATTAGCATGGTAACCATCACAACCCAAGTCCTCGGTTTTGGGAGCGTCGTCTATCCAATGTGGAAACAGTATGGGCGCCTTCTTTTTTTCATATTTCATATGTTTAAAGTCTAAAGTAAAGGATATTTTAGGGATTTGATAATTATATTATTGTTCAGTTATTCAACTATTTTTCTAATTGTAACTTGGCGTTCTTTCAAAACAAATTGCTCAACTAAGGACACATCTTTCTACCAGCTTGCTTTCGCTGGGCAACAGAACAAACATCATTTTTAACCATCTCCCTGCCTTCACTAAAACAATCAATCCAATTAATGATTGAACTTCTTGTAAGCATGAACTTTGTACAAATTGTCATATTCTACTGCAAAGGAATTTCTGAGATATATGTTAAACTTTACAGCCGTTTGTTGTCTGAGTACGACTGAGTCAACCATTTTTTGTCACAAGTCACCTACATGTTGACATAATTTTCACATTGTGACATCACAATCACGGAGCAAAACATTATATAATATCTGTTATTTATAGAACATGTGTATGACTATATGTGTGCCAAATTTCATTCTGATCTGAATTGTGGTTCTGTAAATATAGAGATAGTTCGTGAACTTTTTGATCACCCCTCGTAGACGAGATAAGAAATGATAAGTTACAGAAATTACAATATGTCAGTAAATTAGACAAGGTAAGAAAAAAATAAATTACAGAAATTACAATATGTCAGTAAATTAGACGAGGTAAGAAGTAATAACTTATAGTAATCATAACTTATAATTTTGATAAGCATATCCCTTACCACATATAAATTTTTGCTTACTAGGATATTTTTGTTTTTGTTTCAGTTTTCTAAGGTGATGATAGGGAGTATGCATGATATTGTATGTGAGCCCAACTTCACACCTAATAATAAGGAGCAACAAAGACAAAGGATATCTACAAACCTTCTCAACCAACTCAACAACAGGTAAGCCTGTCAAATCAACTACATTAAAGGGCAGAGGAATTCTCAATGTATAATGAGAAGGCATGACTATTCTCATAATGGTGATTAAAATTTTAGTTCGTATTCACAAATTCTTGGTTCATCTTTATTGCATTATTGCAATGCACACTGTACACTTGTATCAATCAATATATTTATCCAATTATCAGATTGTCAAATGTCATAGGTGTGAATTTGCATAAATGTATACAGATTAAAACCATACTAGGGTTGTCTTCTTTGAATTTTCCAATGTTCCTATATTCATAGAGGTTAAATTGATCAGAGAAATTCCTACAATCCTTCATTTGTAAAAATTTCTTATGTAATGTTCACGTAGCTGTGTCCTCAGTGTTTTGCTTTGCATAGTCAAGGAGAATGGGATTTCAGAAATAATGCATCTGAACCCATCAAACATTACTTTTACAACACTGAGTGAAGAATTAGTGAACAGATAGGTAAAAATGCAACATAAATACTGAGCAATGGTTTGTGAATGAAGTGAGTGATAAGCAAAAATGCAAAGGGCAGATAGAACAGAGTGCAAATAGAACAGAGTGCGAACAGAACAGAATGCAGATAGAACAGAGTGCAAACAGAGCAGAGTGCAAACAGAATAGAGTGCAAACAGAACAGAGTGTAGATAGAACAGAGTGCAAACAAAACAGAGTGCAAACAGAACAGAGTGCAAACAGAACAGAGTGCAGACAGAACAGAGTGCAGATAAAACAGAGTGTAGATAGAACAGAGTGCAGACAGAACAGAGTGTAGATAGAACACTATCTGAATAGAAAACAGCAGCTATAGAGTTAATAGTGAGTGAACATAGAGCAGCCTGTGAATGAAGAAAATAATATAGTTCTATTAAATGTGAAGGTACAAATGCTAAGGAAATGGAAAGTATGATGATATGAACAGTATTACAGTCAATAAAATGTTTTTGTAGAATTGCTTAGTCATTAATATTGCATTAAATTTTAGTGATAGATTGTGGAATGTCAGAATTGTTTTATATTGTAGATTGGAATCGGTAGAATTGGAGGTGATAGCTCTAACACAGAGTGTAGATGAGAATTCCAAAATAATAAATAGGTAAGTACAGTGCTGTATATGTAACAAGCTATCAAATACTTGTACAGTACCAGTTACTGTGCTTCATTCTCATTAAATTTTCATTTTGTTAAACACATTTCATTAAATGCATACATAAACATGTAAGATTTTCTGTTGGTTTGAAAAAGATGTATCACTGTTTACTATATAGTAAAAGATTTGGGGGTAAATAGTTTTTGCCCTGTCTGTCCGGCTAGCTGTCTGTTTGTCCGCAAAAACTTTAACCTTGCCCAAAACTTTTGATTGGTTGGAGCTATGGCTTTCATGTTTCACATGTGTATTCCTTGTGACAAGACCTTCCTTTAGGTACCAACATATTTGACCTTTTGACCTTGGAGTTTGACCCTCTTTTGTAAAGATTTATCAACTTTAACCTTGGCCATAAATTTTGAACAGTTGGTGCTAAGGCTTTCATATTTCACTTGCGTATTCATTGTGACAAGACTTTTCCATAGGTGTAACTATTTTTTACCTTTTGACCTTGACCTTAGAGTTTGACCCACATTTAAAAAACTTTAACCTTGGCCATGACTTTTGCACAGTTAGTATTAGGGCTTTCAAATTTCTCAGGTATATTCCTTGTGAAGACCTTTCTTTGGATATCAACAATTTTGACCTTTTGACCTTGTTCTTGGAGTTTGACTTACTTTTGAAAAACTTTAACCTTGTTCATATCTTTTGAACAGGTGGGGCTAGGGCTTTTATATTTTGCCTATGTATTTCTTATGACAAGGTCTTCCCCTGTGCACCATTAATCTTGACCCTTTGACCTTGGAAATTGATCCACTTTTAGAAAACATTAAATTGACCATAACTTTTGAATGGTTAGTGCTTGGGCTTTCATATTTACCAGGTGTATACATTGACATAAGTCCTTTCTTTGGGTAACAACAATTTTGATCTCTTGACCTTGGAGTTGGGACTTGCATTTGAGAAACTTTAACCTTCACCATAAGCTGCCACACAGGGGCATCAGTGTTTCACAAACATACCTTGTTGCTTCTAAATTTGTATATATTGTTTATTGTATTTCAGCACTGAACAGCATATAAATGAAGGTGACTTTTGAAGAATCATGCAGTTAAAAAGTGTAAACAAAGCTCAGCGATGTGTGAACAAAGCTCAATAGAGTGTGAACAAAGCTCAACAGAGTGTGAACAAAGCTCAACAGAGTTTGAACAAAGCTCAACAGAGTGTGAAAAAAGAGTGTGAACAAACTGATCAGATGTGGACCTTGTTTAAACCTTTGAACTAAAGTAACGCAACAACATTTTACCTCAGCACAGCTCTTTCTTTAAAACAGGAGAACTTTAAGGATTAATGTGATATATCTCTTCAGCACACTTCAAAACCGTATTCCCCAAGATTTGTTGACTAGTTGTGTATACACAGTAATAGCTGGTTTATAGACTAAGCATGTATATAGAGTAAGACATGTAGATGGATTGTGAAATAATTGTGTAATGGTTTGTGTATATACAGTAATACATGTAGATGGATTGTGAACTAAAAGTGGATACACAGTAATAGCTGGTTTGTGTATGTACACTGATACTGTACATGTCGTTGGGTTGTGAACCTAATGTGCATACTGTAAAACGTGCTTACAAAGAAGTGCTAGGGATAGAAAATTTTGCTTTGTTATAAAAATAATTTGTTATTAATATCTTAAGTTCACAATACATTTTAAAACCATGGGGAATTAAAATCAAACAGCTGTAAGCATGAATCCAGTATAAGAGTGTTCACTGTAAGCTTGTTTTACTGTACACAGTAATAACTGGTTTGTGGACTGATTATATATAATTATGTACAGTAATGCATGTATATGTACTGTATACACAGTCATGAAAGATTAATACTGAAGAAATATTGGATTACTCCTTATGTTTTGTGATCAAGCATCCATTGCCACCAAAATTCGATGTATTATATGAATGTAAATTATAACAGTACAAAACCTATTACATATAGAAGAAAAACCTTACGTGGCCAGACACATTACAGCTGTAGAAGTCAGTTAGTTTACCTCATCTCCTTATTGTATTATGTCAGACTAGACTAGATATAGAAAAACAGATAGTATAATTATTACCTTTTAGTAGCTAGCACTGTCTACTTTATGTATTGGAAGGTGGAATTTTTTGTGTTGATATAATGATACGTGAGATTTAATGTTCATATTATGTATGGAAGTTTCCATCCTGGAAGTCTGCAAGCAATCAAAACAATCAGTATTTTGTTAAGGTTGTCATGAGCTACAGATAATAGATATTTTTGCTCTGTAGAACAAACACTGAATGTGAAAGTGAGAGATTTTATAAGTGTATGGAAATAAACACCGAGAGAGAGAGAGCGAGAGCTTTTGTAGGTGCATGGAAATTAATATTGTGTGTAAGAGAGAAAGCTAGAGCTTGTGAATGCATGGAATTAACATATAAGTGCATATCATCAAATTTATTAATTGTTAGTTATATACAATTTTGTTAAATAACTGTTATTGACATTTATTAAATTGTACATTATTTGTTTCTGCTCGTAGAATATATATTTTTTTATTAAAAAAGAAACACTGATGCCTGTACATGTGTAGTTGTGTGAGTAAATGTATAATACTATTTCAATCTGTATTTTTATGCTTTATCTTTCAGAAAATATGAATTTGACAGCAATTCTTTTAATGTTTAACATCCCTCTCGAGAACTTTTCACTCATATGGAGACGCCACCACTTTCCGGTGGAGAGCTGCAAATTTTTACCTATACTCGGCACTCAGGGCCATTGAGCAGTGATTGATCTTTTTCATGCCAGCACCTGCTGCGACACGGGACCTCGGTGTATATGGTCTCATCCGAAGGACCGGGACAGCAATTCTAATTTTTAATTTATTTCTATACATATGTTTTGCCACTCAGATACTAAATGCAGGTTCATTGCATGCTATAGCCCAATGTCTTATTTAAATTTGTTTTATTTTATTTGGTTATTAGTATAGGATTTAATGATGCAGCTGTTGTAGAATAAAATACATAACCTGTGTAAGCAGGTTATGTATTTTTTTTTTTCCTTTTTTTTTTTTTTGCAATGGCTGCAACAAAAGCAAACCCACCCCAAGGTTAAGTAAACGGACAGAGATCAAGCTCATTAATCCCAAACAAATCGTGAACGGGGCAAAAACACGGACCCCTGGTAACATCAGAGGTGGGATCAGGTGCCTAGGAGAAGTAAGCATCCCCTGTCGACCGGTCACACCATGTATTGATCAGGTAGAGGAAGTACAAGTTTTGTCTTTACTGGTCCTCTGGCTTTTGGGAAGATTTTAAAATAACACATCCATATTTTCCATTCTCTTTAGCTACGAGAATAGCGAGACCCGTAGCCTTCTTGGTACCAAAAATTTTACTACTGAAGTTGTCATTTGTCTCTGAAATTCTGTTAAATGCCTTCAACAGTCTCAGAGAGGGAAAAAAGAACGGCTTTGTTTACAGGTAAAAATAGCGATCGTCGACTCGCAAGAGTTTACTACACTTAACTTTTTTGGGAAAAAAAATCCTTCTCTAGGGTGTTTTGGAAATAAAAATAATTCCAAAATTGCCAATATTTTTGTGCGCAATAAATTTCCAAGATATTTGCATACTATCCAGTCTGTCGACCAATTTTTCCCTGGAGAGCTGCATCTAGTTGTGAACGAATGTCATAAAGCAGTTTAGATAATTATATGGTTCTATGAAATTTTAAGATAATGAAAATAATTTGCGTGACTGATTTTTAGCTCAACTGAGCTGAAGGGTAGAGTGAACTTTTCTGATCGAAGATTGTCCGGCATCTGTCCGTCGGTGTCGTCTGTTAATTGTCCGTAAACTTTTCACATTTTTTGCTTCTCTAGAACCACAGGGCCAATATCAACCACGCTAGCCACAAAAGGGTCTTTGGTGAAGGGGATCAAAGTATGTCCAAGATCCACAAACTTTTTCAAGGGGAGATATTTAGGAATTGGTGAAAATTCTTCGGCATCTTATCGCATGATCTTTCAAAAATCGTAATTTTTATGAAAAATATTATCTACAACCTTGTTTATTAAAATACTGAATACAATAAACGTTATTGAAAGCATATTTTAAGAGATATTGAGAGCTGAAATTCAAAAACGGCAATATGCATATTTCAGTCAGATTTCGGCGAATTACTGCTCTGACGTCATAGGCGACAATTCAGTGATAGAGAGATGAGAATATGTCAACTATTTACGGAGTTATCAACGACAAATGCAGCTAAATTACGAAAAATGCTGAAAAAATTAATTCCTAGCGTGCTTTTTAATTACTATAGAAACATTAACTAGTTCTAAGGTATAAGGCTTTTGAGATATATTCGTTTTTTATTCGAAACATTCAGAATCTGTACAGCTCCGATTACGGCAATGTTTCGTGATCGGAAAATTATTTTTCAAGACTGCCATCCTTTACAAAACATAAGTAAATTAATGTTATGCTAAAAACGAAGAATAACAAAGTTAAACAATATTAAATTTGTAAATCAATTAAGTTAATACATGTGATAAGATGAAAAATCAAATTGTATTGTGATGGCGAGTTTCTTTGTCTTCGCCGCGTCTCCTTCGATATCGTCGCTGCTATTTTTACAATGTTAACAGATTTTTCAGATTTTTTCTTGCTGACAATTCTAAACTATAAGGTTGGATATTCAATTTCGTATCGATAAAATCAGTGATGTGGTCGTCCACAATGCAGAATATTCATGTCGTATCGCGTATATTTTAGTAAGATTAACTATAGAGCTGATCAGCCATTGTCGCCTTTGACATCACAGGGTCACATGATCGCTATCTAATTAACTTAGATTTTTAATTCAGGGGTTTTCATTTGAGTCAATAATTGGTTAATTACCGCGGTTTATCCGCAGCAAAACACAAAATTTATAAACTGTGGTCATAAGGAACGTTTTACGCTTTTAATTTCAAATTATTTAGAAACGTGCGATTAGTCCTTTAAGATTCACTTGGCCAGGAAAGGAGATCTACATTGCATGGGAATTTTTAGGAAAATATCACCTTTTCAATATCTTCTAAAGAACAGCAGGGCACGGATAAGTCATATTAACAAGTGTATATAGATTCAGATTTGTTCATATCGTGTTCCTGGGTATAGGATAGGGCTACAATTATAAGGGAATATGTAGGAACAAATATTTTCAAGAATAGCAAGCCACTCTAAATCATAATAATATGCAAACCTTCCTAAGTTTTGTTCTGCCTTTTTTAGCTCTTCTGAGCCAAAGGCTCAAAGAGCTTATGCTATGGCCATTTGTGCGGTGTGCGTAAACTTTAGAATATGGGCCATAACTCAAGAACCCCCAATTATTGTCAAATTTGTCACAGGGTATCCTTGGCCCAATGCCTCCCATTTATACTAAAACTAGGGTTGTGACCCTTAAACAAGGGGAGATAATTAGGTAAATAAAACCAAAAGTAATGGTTGCTAAAAAATCTTCTTCTCAAGAACCACTGGGCAGATTTTCACCAAATTTACACAAAAGGATGAGGATAGGTTGTAGATAAAAATTTGCACGGGGAATCGCCCTGGGGCAAAGGGCGTGGTCTCAAGGTCATTTCAAAATTGATCAAAAATTACATTTTATTAAAATGTTGGTATTTTGCTTACTTTAAGGACCAGGATCATCAAATCTTGTCAGTTGATGCATCTAAGGACCTCATATCATGATGACTCAAAAGTAGGTTTATGATCTACTTTTTAAATTTTGCGGCCATTCTTTTTCAAAATGATTTAGAGGCATATTTTAAACAATTTATGGCCTATGATCATCAATCTTTGTAAGTTGATGCATCTTGGGTCCTCGAAAAATGTAAACTGAAAAGTAGGTCACCGTGACCTACTTTTGAAATTTTATGGCTATAATTAATTATTTTGGGCATTATTTGGCTTAGAATCATCAAACTTTGTTAGTTGATGTATCTTGGGTCCTCTGATTAGGTAGACTGAAAAGTAGGTCACCGTGACCTACTTTTAATTTATGTGACTATAATTGAATATTTCGGGTACTAATTGGCTTAGAATCATCAAACTTTGTCATTTTAGGCATCTTGGGTCTTTGGAATAAGTCGACTGAAAAGTTGGTCACCGTGACCTACTTTTGAAAATTTATGGCTTTAATTAAATATTTCAGGTAATAATTGGCTTAGAATCATCAAACTTTGTCAGTTGACGCATCTTGGGTTCGCAGAGTTAGTCGACTAAAAAGTACGTCACTGTGACCTATTTTTGAAATTTTATGGCTTTATTTAAATATATCAGGCTTAGAATCATTAAATTTTGTCAGTTGGAATTTTATGGCTATATTTAAATATTTTCGTTTACTTATTTGCTTAAAGTCATCAAACTTTATTGGTTGGTGCATCTTGGATGCTTGGAGTACGTCAACTGAAAAGTAGGCCACTATGACCTGATTAAATATTTTTTCAGGTACTAATTGGCTTAGAATCATCAAACTTTGTCAGTTGGTGCATCTTGGGTCCTCAAAGTATGTCAACTGAAAAGTAGATCACTGTGACCTACTTTTGAAATTTTATGGTTATAATCAAATATTTTAGGTATTAATTGGCTAAGAATCATCAAACTTTGTCAGTTGTTGCATCTTGGGTCCTCGGAGTACATCAACTGAAAATTAGATCAACATGACCTACTTTTAAAATTTTATGGCTTTATATAAATATTTTAGGCACTATTTGGCTTAGAATCATCAAACTTAGTTAGTTGATGCTTCTTGGGTCCTCAGAGAATGACAAGTGATAAGTAGGTCACCATGACCTACTCTCAGGTACTA